ATGTACAGAGTTCAAATGATTTTACGAGCTCATACCTACATCAACATGAATCATTATACACACAAAGGTACTGCCGAGTGAAAAGAAATCATGAAAGGAGTACATGTTTTGAAAGTACTGGTTTAATAATGTATTGTTGTAGTAGTTTATGCATGTGAATAACTAGTTCAACAAATCACCTATATTATAGGGAATTATCAGACCTAGAGGGACTTTTTTGCATTTGTTTAGTTGCAAAATATGCAGAATAAAAAAAAATTAATTAAATTTACTAAAATATTTACTACATTAACATAATAAGGCAGGAAAATATCAGCCTTATATGATTTATAAGAAAAGTTTTTTAGATGTTTATAAATTGGGCACAGATTAAATGTATAATTTAAGTAAGGTATAAATTAAATATAGATCTATTATATCTAAGATGGCATGCTGTGGTATTCTGAAGTCCTCTACTGTTTTTCTTAATTCATACTCCATTTCGATTTGATGGTAAAACATTGTCCAGGTTAAACATAATCCAGATGTTGGTTACACAGGTGTGTATGCAGTAGCTCTATGCGTGTCTCTGAAGGAAATAAAGGAGCTGAGAGGCATTAGGGCATCAGGGTTAGTAAACTACTTAGCAGAGCTTAGCAGTGAGAGGAGAGATAAACACTTTCACCATTTTACATTTGATCAATTTCAAGTATCAGTTTAATCTTTCGCCAAACAGACATAAAATGGTTACTACATATTAATAATGTTAGGGATACAATGTTTCATTAAAATGTTATCTTACTAGGCAAATTCATTCAATGCATTAATCTTTCCACTAAAAGACTGCCAATAACAAAGTTGCTATGCAACAGAAATAAGTGATATGGCAAACAGGTGTTATAGTGGTTACGGAGTAACTGGTTTTAGCTGGACTGGAATGCTTATTGACCAATCAGATGTCAGGACTTCTTGCTTTTAATAAGTCTAAATAAATGCCAGATGTCATAAAAGAAGTGTGGGTTTGTATAGAAGTACTGTCCGTTTCAGGTCCTAGGTGACTTGTAAGTTCCCAAGAATTTTGAATGTTTTCAGTATCTGAAACACCAGTGTTGTTACTGTTAACTAAAACTACTAAAAGTCATTAGTCTGAAATTAAAGCAACTGTATATAGTTTTTATGTAATTTTGTGACTTTGGAGTGCCCTACATTTAAGTTAATGGAACTCTCTGTGATAAATATATCACTGTCCTAATCACATTGGACAGTTGTACATGTGGATTTGTTGCTGCCATACAATAATCTGCCTTTTTTCACAGAATTTCATACCTAAAATTACAGACTTACACACTCCCAGAACAGACGTTTGAAGGGGAGCATTGGAAAGAAAAAGATGCCATTCAGTTTATTAGAAGTCAGCGTATCATGAGAATAATTTTGAAACTGATATTTCAAGGTTAATAAAAAAAAAAAAAAAAAACACTTTCATACAGTTGCTTAAATAAAATATAAATATTAGATGAAAAATGTAAAATTTAGAAGTGATGCCTTGGCAACTAACAAAGTTTAACACCAAACTCACACATAAATATGCACCGACGAATAGATCTGTTTATGTTCATGACTATTAGCAACCACTGAAGTAAATGATACTCAACATTATTCAAGGTAACTAATAGCAAAATATAGGCTGCGATCACACAGCAATAGAATATAGCTGTTACTAGTGCTGGGCGGTATGACCAAAAATTTATATCACGGTATTTTTCAAAATTATACCGGTTTCACGGTACAAGACTATTTTTTTTTCATGCATGACCAGGTGTTAACCATATTTTCTACTGATTGAGAGAGGAAATACTGCAGTATATTGACTTAGAATGCCCTATTTTACTGTCATGATGAGTGAATACTGTCAAAAAATACCACACTAGATAGTGACCAAACACGACCCCTTTTAATACATGTTAACCAGGAGTCACTCATTTATAATCGCGGCATCGTCTGATAAAATCAACATGCATCTATACTAGAGAGCGGCTATGCGGTGGTTTTAGCTATATTACTTTTTTGTCTCATGCAGCGCACTGCCTGCGTCTGAGTGACCTAAAAAAAAATAAAAAATTTAAAAAAAGAGAGAAGTGCATGTAATATTAACAGACGACCTACGCTCATATTTATAATTCCAAACAATCAGTAAGCGACAGGTGCTAGGAAACGCTGTTTTGTACTCCTTTATTGACGAGTCGGCTGCGGTGCGGCCAACTGAATGCGCTGCTTCTCTGCCGCTCACTGCACAGAACAGACGCCGAGAGAGGTGACACTTCTCCGGGAAAGTCAGATCTCGCGGTCGCGGGACAGCACTGGCGAAATCTTCCAACTGAACCATAGCTAAGTTTATCCAAAAAAGTCGCTAGGTTTGTCAGTATGAATATTCTATGGAAAAAATCTGCTAAAAGGGTCTGAAAGTTGCTAAATCTAGTGCTAAAGTCGCGCTCGTGTGTGTGAGACGCGGGAGCTGATGGCAGGGGACGGTGGATATTTGTGGCGGTCAATGTGGATATTGTGGATGAGTTCTTCTGTGTCATCATGTTCTATTAGTTCTACAGCTTCAGTTTCAGAACTTTCACACTTAGTAACACATACTGTTCCCTCACCACAGTGCAACAGAGAAAAGGGACCCCTTTCAAACCGTGTCACATTCCGAACGTTGTTTAAGTGTATTGCGGTATTTTCAAAATTCATATCATAACAAAAATAAAAACCGGTATTCAGTATGAACCAGTATACCGCCCAGCACTAGCTGTTAGTCCCATATTTTGTGCTTAATATGGTCGCGTTCATTTTGTTTTTACCAGCATGATAGCTGCATTCTAGGGGTGGGTGATCTTCCCAAAAAATCATATCATGATCTTATAACACAAAATCACAATCCACGATATGAATCGCAATCTTCCCAATTTTAAGATGTGCCGTCAAGAATATCCAGACTGGAACAAGCCAATGATTTACTTATTTGCATAATTTAAAAAACACAGTATTATTAAATCAGTTGTCAAAATGGTCATTAAAAGTTACACTTTAAAACACTGAATCACTGTATGAATCAAATATACATTGATTCTTATTACAGTTAATAAAGTGATTCATTCAAGAGCAGTGATTGATTTTCTTTTGTTGTCTGATTAACATTAATGACACAGACAGCAGGTTTATTAGGCTGCTTTTCTTCAAGACAGAATGCACGGATCTAATATACTGACACGCATCCGATTTCTTTCTCAATTGTTTATGTTCATTTAAGACATAACTGACTGACTGTCTGACATTTTTGTGTGTATTTGACCATTTATGCACACCTAAAATCCCAAATATACTTTGCTTGTTCGTGTTCAGATCGGTCTCGAAGCACACACACAGAACATGCCTGAGGAACAAGCTCTTTCGCACATAATGTGCTTTTAATAAATCTTTTTAAAATAAAGCATGCCCCACAGTAGACTGCATTTTACGAGTCACATTACATGATTCGACTGATTAAATGTTAAGCTTTTAAGGAGTGGCGAAAGAGCACTGCTTTAAGGAATGGAACGACTTGCACCACAAATCGAAACTGAAACTAAGATTTGATTCATTACATTACTACTGCTAGCTCACGCTGAATTGTTTTTCAAATGCGTCACCACGCATGAAAGACACTTAACAGAGACACGTGATATAATTTGATAAGTCACAGTCATCTAGAAAGCAGTCACTGCTGTAGTTGTAACATTTTTATGAAGACGTAAATGATCATGATCTCTACGATTCGCTTGAAAAGCAGATCGTAGACATCTACAAGATCGATCACAATATAAAATCGTCAGATCGCCCACCCCTAATGCATTCTATAACTGAAAGTTATAGAACGACACCTGCTAATTTTCAGGACTTACAATCACATTCTTAGCAAACCTGCGTTGTATATGGACAGCTACTTGCTTGCAAGGTCATATAATGTGAGAACCACAATGATATGGATCTTGATAATGTCGTTACGGTTACCCGAGTTAGAATAAAGCTGAAACTTATTTACACTGTTTAAAGTGAGTGATGCACTTTTCACATTGGGCTGAATTTATAGACAGTCTTTAAAAGATGCCCTAAAATTAGTTAATTATTAGAGTAAAGTACTAATTGAAAGATAATCTATAGATTAACAGATCATCTAGTGTTGGTCCATGATGGACACAGGTACAAATGTAAAATGACATGGCGTCTGGAAACCAACAACCACATCAAGCCTAAGCTCTCCAGCAGAATAGAAGCAAACAGTGTGCAGAAAATAGAAAGTTGTGTGCTTGTAACTCCAAGGTCAAATCATATAAGCAAGCCAATCTCTACAAAGACTGGTCTAGCAAAGCACGTCCCCCTTAGGAGACGTAGAGGCTAAATACAGCTGCTGGCCTTCATCACAGCAAACGCAGAATCACAAGTCAGTCTAAAATAGTTAATTATTAGAGTAAAGTACTAATTGAAAGATAATCTATAGATTAACAGATCATCTAGTGTTGGTCCATGATGGACACAGGTACAAATGTAAAATGACATGGCGTCTGGAAACCAACAACCACATCAAGCCTAAGCTCTCCAGCAGAATAGAAGCAAACAGTGTGCAGAAAATAGAAAGTTGTGTGCTTGTAACTCCAAGGTCAAATCATATAAGCAAGCCAATCTCTACAAAGACTGGTCTAGCAAAGCACGTCCCCCTTAGGGGACGTAGAGGCTAAATACAGCTGCTGGCCTTCATCACAGCAAACGCAGAATCACAAGTCAGTCTAAAATAAAAAAAAGCCCAAAACTGCCTTCCAGAAAAGTTTTCCAGACAAGTTTCTTCATTCAATCAACAATTTAACACACTACCCATCATTCTGAATAAATGATGAAGGTTGAGCTGAGATTCAATGACCAATGGTCATGGAAAGCAGTTTTGACAAAACATCTGAGTCCTAACCAAGGTTTGGCGGACATTCATAATTCCTCACCGAGTTTATCCGATGATGTAATAATGTCAGTGGGAACGCATGAATCCAGATCAGCATCCATAATCCCCAGAGGGTCCAGTTGAGCCACATGGTGACCACGTATCTACAGGAGACAAGAGGTCCCCCCACAAACATGGGAGCCGAACGCAAAACGACATACAAGGGAAAGATATAGAAGAGGGGAGGAAGAGGCCACAGAAGAGGAAGTGGAGAGCAGCAAGAGAACAAGAAGGTCGAGATGATATATGAAGCGTGATTGAAGATAAAATGAAGTGTCGGGTGCAGAGGAGGTTAGGATATAAGAGTTGGGTTAGGGAAAGGGGAATTGAGAGAAAGAGGGACAGATAAAGGGAAGGGGAAAGCGACAATCACACAAAACAGGCTCATTAATGGTGGTCTGTTGAGCTGTGGCAGACAGAAAACATTTCTCACCAACATGCTGGAACCCAGTAGCTACTGGGGACTCGTCAAAATTTACACAATTGATGCCAAGTGGGTCGAGGTTTGCATTGTGATGCCCCATTACCTGAAAACAAGGCAACAGCAGTCACAAGACATGAGGAGTTCACCAAGCAGATCTCATGACTGTGAAATCGAGCCCAATCTTTCACAGCGTCACAAACGTGAGATGGAAAACCATGCAACCAAAATTAGGTATTGCACAATTTGCTATCTTAAATCAAACGGGACTATCTGCTAGAGATCGACCAATATCTCATTTACCAATTAATTGCCACCTTTATGAAACCATTGATTTGCTTTATAGAACTACTGGTTATAAGGGAAAATCAACAGCGGTAGTTGGTGAATCAGATCTTTTTTGTTGTGGTTTAATTCATCCGTGTTCCACCATGGCCAGTGCCGGAGGTTTATTACTAGTCATGTTGTATTAAATCAAAGTCAAGGATGGAAACTGTTCACCTTTCCTCTTAATTAAAAAAAAATGATAGTTATGATTCGTGCAGATCCAGCAAGCTGCATTATGACTCTGTCATTTCATATGACAAAAAGACAAAAACAAAAAAACTAAATCGTCATTGTGATGAAGCACTATTTTTTTAGTTTAAAAATTAACTTTCTCATGTGTAAGTCATTAATATTGATTTTGTAATAAAGTTCAGCACTAATTAACTGAAAAGTAACTGAAAGTTTTCATTCATATCACTTATATTAGAAACTATCGACTAAATTAATCAATTATCAGCCAGATTTTTCACCTTAGCTATCGGCAAACCCCAATACTGGTCGACCTCTGCTATCTGCTCAGTGCAGTATTTCCCAACCTTTTTTTAATCGCGGCACCCTTTGGAAACTTTAACAAATTTGTGGCACCGTCACAATACTTGAATTTCTAACTTCGATATGATACTTTGAAAAGTATAGATATTCGGTATAGCAGGGAAGGACTGCAGAATATACTGTCAAACAGATATTTTTAATATTATAAAAAAAATGTTGTCCATCAATGGTGGCAATCAGTAGGCTAATTTCTAATGAAGAGACCAATTTATATGACAGATTTTAATGTAGGCTTTTATTCATATGTAAACATTGTTTAATTTCCATTATAACTAGCTATCTCACAAATCTTTGCTCACTTGGTGTATTTTTGATTTTACAGTGGGGTCATTTTGTTGCAGTAGTACGAGATAGCTTGATTTCAAACTTTGAATTTTGAGTGGACTTTGCTGTTCCGATGAACATGAACGGTATATGAGTGGAGCGAGCGGAGCGCATACGCATAGAGCGGGATAATACGCAGAGCGTCACACCACGTGAAAGTGAATCCTGAGCGGTGAACTAATTATCGGCAGCCGGAATTTCGGTGCATCTCTAATTATTGCCGACATCAGAAATGGATATTATAATAGATGCTTTTTTGAACATTTTAGCAATTTAAAAATATTAAAAAATGATTTTTTTACACGGCACCCCGGTTGGGAAACACTGGCTTAGTGAATGTTCTCTTGTAACCTCAAAAAGCATCTTTTTTATTTTTTTTTTACAAAATGAACATAGATCTCTTACCTTGTTAAAGGTTCACACTGCAACTCATTAAAGGCAGCACTGAGATATCACTTTTAAGCCAGTATTTTTAAAGAAACAACCTCACAGGGTTTTTTTAATCTGCGCGTGTACCTGATAGGCCCTGATGAGGGACTGGACTGCCAGATGGTCTTCCACCAGTTTCTCCACATTCGGCTGGGCCCCCACCAGAGACTGGGCCTGAGCGAGCCCGGCCAGACTCACTCCCATTGGAGGAGGACTCTGGTAGGCTGTACCTGGGGGGGCACCAGCATTAGCATTCCTGAAGAAAATGTCCCAAGACTGGAGAACAGAAAAAAGAGACAGGATTTATTCTCTTTAAGTAGACACTTAAGTTGCAATCAATAGCTAAAAAAACATAATGAACTGGATATGGTATTACTAAAATCATTTAGAACAACATCTAATAAAGCAGGTAAGAATCCTTTAACATGGTTCATCAGTTTGGACTGTTCCACAGTGACATTAAATTAAACATCTGTGGAATGCATGAATGGATTTATTTTGTTTTTGAATATGACCCATCTATAAAACATGTCTGATAATGCTTCAAAAGTGAATATTTACTGCTGCTGGCCAAGGTAAGCAACACTAGTACTATTGCTTATACTTAAGGTCAGTGACAAGGGATATTTTTTATGAGTAACTCCTCCAGCAGCATTTGTACTACAGAGAGAAATGGATGCTACAAACTTTAAATCATGTGGCTTTTTGAGAAAACTAGAAACAGCTGGATTCATACTTAGGCCTAATACAATATTTCAAAGCATTTTTATCATTAAATCGATCCTCACAATTAGGATAGAGACCGTTAATGCTACTTTTTGCGTCTTTAATGCCTCACCAATACAATGTGAAGTTGTATAAGATGTTCAGGGATTGTGGTCCTGAAGATCGATCATAAATGAGATGTGTGGGTTTATACTAGGGATGTCAATGATTAATCGATTAACTGTCGATAAGAGATGCAATCGATTAAAGCTATCGATGGTCGATTAAGCGGTTTAATTTTGGGCTGCGTGTGGCTCATGCGCAAAACACGTGCGAGCGGCTGTGAGTGACGGTGACGGTATATAAATGCATCATCATTCATCCATAATTACAAATTAAGCTTTTAATGTGATTTAAACTTTAAAAGTACATTAAAATAAAAACAACACAAAATTCTTCAACATGGAATGCAATAGAAATGTAGTAACTAAGTCATCTTTCATATTTGAAACAATTAGGTGAAGGTTGCAGGGCTGCAGGATACTGCGGGGGAAGGATTCATTCCTACAACTTGTTAATTTGTTCCTACGACTTATTAATTTGTGTGAAAGCACAGTCCGTGTTGCTTCCCCTCTCACAAGAGTCACCTAAGAGGGGAATTCCCCTCATTTTCAAAAATGAAATTCAAGCCCTGAATAAATGTCTAAAAATCCTGATTGGAGTATCACTATAAATAGTTATAAATGATAAAAAGAAGGCTTTAAAAAGGATCAGCAGATACTGCTTTCTGTGATCGGCCTCAAAAATCCTGATCGGAGCACCCGTAACTGTTATTGTGGCCCTGAATAAATGTCTAAAAATCCTGATTGGAGTATCACTATAAATAGTTATAAATGATAAAAAGAAGGCTTTAAAAAGGATCAGCAGATACTGCTTTCTGTGATCGGCCTCAAAAATCCTGATCGGAGCACCCGTAACTGTTATTGTACCTACTGATCACACTGCAAAAAAGTGTTGTTGTTCCTCATTATTTTTGTTGTTTTCCAGCATCCAAGATTAAGATTCTTAAAGGTCCCATATTGTACACCTTTCTGGAGTTTTATTTGAGGTTTTGATGTCCTTAAGAATATATATTTGTGGTATAAGTACCAAAAACCATCTCAATATATGTTTACAGCTCCTTTCTCAGGAGCTCTGCTGAGAACAGGTCGATTTTGGTCTGTATAATTAATATTCATGAGCCTCTCTTCTGATTGGCCTGTTTTTTTCTGAGTGACGCACGGCCAGGCCAACCACAGGTAACTAGGGTCAGCCGACGTCACAGCGCTAGCTGGAGGCAGCAAAACAAAGAGGAAACGGGAGGTGGCCCATTCAAACCAGCGCAGATTTGGCTACATAAGGAGCTTAAAATATCATCTTGTTGTGATGTTGGGTGCCAGAATCGACGTAATACAGCCTCAAATTTGAAATTTGATCGCATATCTGCTACCACTGCCAGACAAAAAACCGACGACAGCTGTGGTTAAACGCGATAAAACGAGCAGACTGGATAGAAACAATCGTCAAAAATGCTCACGTTTGCAGCGCACGCTTCTTATCAGAAAAGTTTCAATAAAGTGTTGTCTTATGTTATGGGTGCGTCTACAGATTTCTTGCCATATGTCTATGTTTCTTGCATCTCACGATTATGTCGTGTATGAAGTAATGTCTTTGTGCATGTGTGTAAAACAACAAACTGACGATTTATATACAAACCCAATTCCAAAAAAGTTGGGACACTGTACAAATTGTGAGTAAAAAAGGAATGGAATAATTTACAAATCTCATAAACTTATATTTTAAAAGCCAGGAAATTTCAGTTTTGACAATATGGGACCTTTAAATCATGATACATTTACTTGAGATGCAAAATGACAAGAAGTCTTGCTTTTTGTAAAAATGATGCGGTAAAAACAAACAAACCAAAAAACATCTGCCAATGGGCTCAGAGAAAGAAAAAAAAAATAACAAAAAAAAACACTTCAATGGGAAAACAAGTTTTCATTCCCCATTGGCAGATATTTGTTCTTGTTTCATACTCATTTAAATTTTGTTCAATTTCACACAAAACAAGACTTCATATCTTCATTTTGCATCTCAGGTAAATGTATCTTGATTTAAGTTTGTTTAGATATTTGTACTGAGAAACAAAACAAAAAATACTGAGGAAGATTTTTAGCAATGCATGCAACATTTAATGGCATGCCTTTATGAATTTAAGACTTACTGCTCTGATTTTTCACCTTTCTAAGGCCTTACTTTGTGGAGAGGCAAACAAAGACTTTTTAAGACCCGCAGAAACATGTTCTATACTGGACTATTTTAAAATAATGTGATGTAATGTGATCTTGTAACACAATAACAAAAATAAAACTGAATCCAAGAGCATGTAATTTTCTGAAGGACAGGGGAAATATCTATACACAGAACATTGAGCAAAACATTAACCCAAGATACCCTGGACGTTGTACTCACTTTTGAACTGTTGAAGGTATCATAACTGAAGGTCATTACATAAAACCTCATTAGAAGTACACTGGGTGAAAACAACTAGCCTAAACACTCACAAAGATGTCATGTGTCACTGTGTCCTGGAACCGGCAAACTCTCATGACTGCTCTAAAAATACTACAGGGATCCCAGCAATAGGGCCTTTCGCACCGCGGGAACCTTTTCATAGTACCAGAACTAATTGTGGAACTACCCACTTTTTGGCGTGTTCGCACCGCCGGAACTGGGAGCGATTTTAGTACCGGACTGCCTTTTTCGAGAACCAAATTAGCTCCTACTCCGGAGCAGGGTCTAACCAGCACAACTGGTACTACCCATGACGCAAGTAGACATTGATTGGCCAAACGTGTACGAAAACGCCCTCACCTGCCATGATTTAAAACGCCGTGTAAACATAGTGTCAACTTATTTTGCAAGTATGGAGAACAGCGATAGATGGACGGACGCTGAAGTGCAGGCACTTGTAGCAAATGTAGCACTGCCAGTTGTCGTTGGAGATTCTTAGTCCTCTTTTCCGTTCTTTCAATCACTTTACGTATACGTCGACATTCCATGTCCATTATTGGGAAACCCGCGAGACACAACAAAAACACAGCTCCGATCACAGCGTCCTCCATCCTCCTGTTGTTAATGTTGTTCTTCTTTGTTTCTGTTGTTGAACGCCACGCACAAATGTCGTCGCTGTCGACCAGCTTACGTCACTTCTTAGTACACACTGTCGGTGCGAATGCAACCCTTTAATGGTACTGGAAAATAGTTCGGGCAAAATCGTCCCAGTACTTTAGTACTGTAAATTTAGTTCTGGAACTAAAGCGATGCGAAAGGCCCTATTGTGACCTTACACATACAAGCACCACTGTATATATATATATATATATATATATATATATATATGTGAAAGTTGGGAACAGTCAGAAGGTTGCAACTACTGGCACCACTGAAAGAGAGGTCTCTTCATTCCTTCTTCCCATAATCCACCTGCATGTCCTCTTACCTTGTGCACACTCTTGGGATTCTCCAACCATGCATAGTACATCTCCTCGACATAGTTAGAGCTTGTTCCGTTCAGAAATGGCTCTGCGGCCACCGGTGCCGTGTAGCACCTGAATGGCTGAAACGTCCTAGGGGTGGCCGCTGGCCTCTGCTGTGATAAATTTTTAGCAGTCTGTGAGGCCGTGATCGGCCTGAGCCATGCTGCACAAGTCCTTAAGCGGTGCATCGCAGTCTTTTGATCGAGCGCCACCCACACTCACAAGTTCCTGGATGTCCCCAGTGCCACAACAGAAAAGAGAAGTGTCTCCTCCTTCTTTAGCTCAAACGGAAAAGGTGTTTCAATTTGCTGGGGAAGAATAGATAGTTCCAAAAGCCCTTGACCTTTTAATCCTATCTGTGGTTTGTACTCTGAAAAAAAGGAACAGACAAGTCAGAGGTGCATTAAAGTGCAGTTTATCTCAACTAGGGATGCACCGATATGAAAATGTTGGCCGATACCGATAACCGATTATTCTTTATTTTTGAAAGCCGATAACCGATATGTTGGCCGATAAATCTATATCCAAATTGTTATATACTTTTTGAGAGCCTGATTACAAAAAAGGTCTCATCATTAAAAGCCACATCCCAAACACTTCAACATAAGCAGCCTAGTTTGAACGGTGTACGTTTTAAAAATATTTTTACTCTCCCATTACCAAATTTAGTCATAAAAAAGCCTTACAAATAAATAAAATTATGCATAAATAATGCAAACAAGTCACTGGACATCATTACACGTGTAAAGAATCAAAATATAGTGGTTGTTGTTATTAATAATATATCAATGATTTTGAAAAAGTAACAAATTAATACCACTGTTTTAAATAGTAGCCGTTGAGCTGCGCGTGCTGAAGCTGAAGAGCTGAATGAACATGGTAAACTGAAGCGTTTTGCTGGCAGCTTATTTAACTCAAGGAAATGCATCCTGAGATTAATATTAATACAATATAAACATAATATTACAACTTATATATGTTCATGTACAAAATGATATAGTCAGCTATAGTCAGAATGTGTGATCCTGCTGTGGATGCACTCTTCCCATATCAACGCACTGAAACACAGCAACTAAACCCAAAGAATGCACAACGTTTTATTATAATAATGTTCTCATTAGAATGTTATATACACAACATTCCCAATCATAGTTATTAATGTTGTGCACTGCTGTTTTAGCTGCGTGCGCTGAGCTAAAGACGATCACCGGTAAACTGAAGCGCTCTTTTAACTTAACCGCACGCATTCTAGATGAGATAAATCAGATATACATCAAATAAACACAATATTACAACGTACAATTGCACAAAAGGCTGCAAACGAACAGTGCGCATCTGAAGTGTCTCTGAAGGAAATAATGCATTATTTATCGGCTTTAAGATATCGGCCAAATTTTCTTATCAGGCCGATACCGATAACAGAAAAAAATGAGCATTTATCGGCCGATACCGATATGGTGGCCGATATATCGTGCATCCCTAATCTCAACAATTAAAAGACAAATAGATCAGATGGATAGGAGGACACTGTTCAATCCAGTTCATTCTCTGGGTATCACATGGAGGTTTTAATGAGATTTTAGGGCAAAAGCAACAGAGTTATAATCCGATACAACAGTAAGCTGGAATCTTCATCATCAAAATTAAACATCTTCATACAGTTCAGAACGGATCTCATTTCATATCGGTTTATGCAGTTTTGTGCTTTTTTCTTGTACATTTGCAACAAGAGAGGTTCAGTATTACATCTTCACTAATGCACAGAAAGAAATGAGTTTATCACCCAAAAACATACTACAGACTATACGATAGAGAGTTAAAAACATCCTTTATCACATGACTAACTGATATGCAATTTATAACAATTTGTAACATTTGACACAAGGAGTGAAGAAAACACGTGTGAATAACATTACATAACATTTAAAGAATGCTACACTACATACCCTTGAACACAGCTACAAGTGACTTATTTTACATCTCAATGAGTATTTCTGGCAATATCAAATTAATATTTTTTAACACAACATATGTCATATGCAACTTTGCGAAGAGTTTTTACCCCACATTTTAGCAAAATTGTCTTTCCTTCCTACCCAAGGAATAAATCACTACTACTGTAATAATCTGAGCTGTGCTCAACTTCAGAAAAATGAATAACTGTTAGCTGTGCCCTTTTCCACTAAAATGAAACTGGTTTGACCACGTGGTTGAAATAAACATGGTAGTGATGGAACAATTGATACCGCAGCTCCGATGCAGTTTTCAAACCACTATTGTATCACACACTGTGCCGATACTTGTATCGAAATGACAATACCACGTGATTGATGACGTTTGAAGCTTCGAATGTCATGCAGTATCGGAAGGTCGGGACAGCTAGTTTGAAAAAAACGTTTACGCGTGAAATAAGTGTTAAATATGCATGAATAAAGCGTTAAAAATCAGTTTGAACAGGTCAGTGTCATTGGCTGCTGAGGACTTGGGTCAAACCATTTCTGTGAGCTTAGGGGGATGTACCATTCATAGACTAGGCAACCAACATTTAACATGCAATAGATCAGCTTATTCAGCCTAATTATTTTGTCTTTCTTTTCTGTATAGCCTATAGAAATAATATATTTAAATTGCAGTTTTATGAAAAACTAATTTTTCACCACTCATACCTTTTTGTAAATAAACACATTAGTGGACATTCTAGCTTTAACAGTGATCAAATTTAAAGGGTTAGTTCACCCAAAAATTAAAATTAGCCTGTGTTTTACTCACCCTCAAAGCATCCTAGGTGTATATGACTTTCTTCCCCAACATGTGTACAGAAGTTACAGCATTTGGAACCAATGTAGCCCTTATCTTACTTAGCCCTTTACAGTTTTGAAATTGTTGTTTTGAATTTGAAGTAATGCCTCACTCAAGCTTAGTCAAAGCCCCCAAAAATTATACTTGTTTTATTCCACTCGATGAGACCTTTCAAATGACATATGACACATGACTATCTGAGCTGTATGATGTTTCTGACATATTAGAGCACATGGAACAAAAACATTTCTCATAAATTATGAAAACATTTTTTTCTATTTATCTGCAAATAACTCAGCACTACCTAGGAGTTAATCAAAGTGGCCACATGCATTGTAAAGGTCAGCCTCCCAAGCTTGCAAATTACACCTCTTTTGTGTTGATTAAGGCAGATATTTTGAAAAATATGCTCATTTTTTTCTTCGCTAGGGGGCGTCCGCCGGCGGTACACGCCGGTTTAGAGGAACTAGGCAGCACTGGTTAGGAGTTGATCAAAATGGTTGGATGTATTCGAAAGCTGAATTTCTACGCTTTAAAATGATAAATGGTTATATAAAAGATAAAATAGACAGAAACATTATAGGTTTTACATTCTGCTTGCCAAGTGTTCAATAGAGCTCTCCAACGGATTTCTTCAATTCATGGGTTTAGGTATTATTTACACACGAAAGACGCAATGGATTGTTTTGATTTTGGACTCATTTAAATTGTGAGAATCTGCTGTAAATAATGATATGCCATTTTCCACAGTCGGAGCATGTTTCATGAAATGATAAGCATAAAAAACCATGAGAATATTGCAGCATGTGCACATTTGGAGTTTTACGTGTTATAATTCGATGACGAATATCTTTAGATCTAAATGACGGATTATGGAATGATTGGGCTCATTTTAATCGAGAGAATTTTCTGAAAATAATGACGTGCAATTTTCTATGATCTATGCATGCTTCATGAAGTTGCACGAGTGGAGAAAAACGAGGCAATTTGATTTTTTATCCAATTTTTCATAAAACTGCAATTTAAATATAGTATTTCTACAGGCTATACAAAAAAAGAAAAAGAAGAAAAAAAATAATTAGGCTGAATAAGCTGATCTATAGCATGTTAAATGGTGGTTGCCTAGTCTAGTGGTTCCCAACCCTGGTCCTGGAGGCACCCCAACACTGCAAATTTTGCATGTCTCCTTTCTCTGGCACACCGATTTCAGGTCTGGGAGTCTCTACTAATGAGCTGATGACCTGAATCAGGTGAGTTTGGTTAAGGAGACATTCAAAACGTGCAGTGTTGGGGTGCTTCCAGGACCAGGGTTGGGAACCACTGGCCTAGTCTATGAATGGTACACCCCCCTAAGCTCACAGAAGTGGTTTGACCCAAATCCTCAGCAGCCAATGACACTGACTCGTTCAAACTGATTTTTAATGCATACTTCACGTGTATTTAACACCTATTTCACGCGTATTAATACGTGTTGTTTACCGTGAAATACTCGTGTTTAACGCGGTGTTGACCCGTTAAAATTCACGTGTTTTTGGCCCTTTTGGCCTTCCATATCCTTGCGTCCACATTCCACTCCCTCGACGAGCCAACCGCTGAACCCGCCCGCCCGCGGCGATTCAGAGCGCTGATTGGCTGGAGATCCCTAACCCCGCCCACCGCAGCGATTCAGAGCGCTGATTGGCTGGAGATCCCTAACCCCGCCCACCGCAGCGATTCAGAGCGCTGATTGGCTGGAGATCCCTAACCCCGCCCACCGCAGCGATTCAGAGCGCTGATTGGCTGGAGATCCCTAACCCCGCCCACCGGACACGCCGAGAGGAAAGCTAATAAAGACTCGGAGTGTCAATCATTATGTCCTTTCACTAAACATAGGTCTTATGGAAACATTAGCAGCGCATGCTAACCGTCAAATCAGAGGCCCATACTGGAATTCAGTCAGGCAACTTGTAAATCTTATTTATTTTGTGGGACAGTTAAACGCATCTATTTCACGAATAAAGACACAATACCTAAGTGTTTCTGTTGTGAGCCGCGACACCTTGAGCTAGCAACAACAATGAGCGAATTTAAGGTCGCTTCAGGCATGTAGTTCTGCAACTGGACCGTTAACTATTCTTCAGCCAACGGACTGACACAGAAACACCTACTCATGTCATTAAATATCAGGTAACTTTGGTCACACCAAAGGAGAACAAGCTGCCATGCTAATTTGAAGAAATTAAGGAAGAAACGCGTCTTCTCGCTGGGTAATTCGCCGTAGTTGTGATCAAAAATCCATTTAACGACGGACGGAAGTGTGTACACAATACAAGAAGAAAAAGCACCTACTTGAGCTGGCAGCCTTTTAGTAAACGGGTCGCGCACCGGAGTTGGTCACGGCTCCACTGAGTGACAGAAGAGAACCAGCGAAGAAGAACACTTCCGCCACGAAGAGCGCCAGCCGCCTCCGACGTCACGTCTAGATTTGGCGCTATTTCTGCTTGAAGCGGTTCCTTCGAGCCGTTCTTCTCAAAGAGCTCTTCAGGCAGTCTCGACACGCTTTAAGCGACAGATGCAGAGCAATACAACGCCAAAGACATTATACAGCAAAGCCAGGGGAACCAAGGAGAGAGAAAATGACAACCATAGACATGCATGAGCTTTACATTGCGCAAAAGATTTTGAAGATTGTCTTTCTATTACTTCTTAAAACTAATTTTCCAACTCTTTATAAAACACTGGCAAACAGGGTTTTTTGTTAGTAAATTTACACCTATGAATGTGAAACTTAACCAACAAAATACATAGATTGATAACAAAATCTCACATTATCATAATTAAACACACATTTTCAAAATGCAAATGGGAGAGGACCTTTTCTTTGATAAGCACAGCAGCATCATACCATACCTTTTTAACATAACTAGTGCCAGACTTCGAGCCGTTCTTCTCAAAGAGCTCTTCAGGCAGTCTCGACACGCTTTAAGCGACAGATGCAGAGCAATACAACGCCAAAGACATTATACAGCAAAGCCAGGGGAACCAAGGAGAGAGAAAATGACAACCATAGACATGCATGAGCTTTACATTGCGCAAAAGATTTTGAAGATTGTCTTTCTATTACTTCTTAAAACTAATTTTCCAACTCTTTATAAAACACTGTCAAACAGGGTTTTTTGTTAGTAAATTTACACCTATGAATGTGAAACTTAACCAACAAAATACATAGATTGATAACAAAATCTCACATTATCATAATTAAACACATTTTCAAAATGCAAATGGGAATTTTCTTTGATAAGCACAGCAGCATCATACCATACCTTTTTAACATAACTAGTGCCAGATGTTTCCAAGTGCAAAGAGCAAGAGCAATTAACATCAGCATCCTTCTTAAACTCACTGAGAAAATATCTGACAGGATAGAATTTATGAATTATTTTGAAAGAGATTTCTTTTATGAATGAGCAATGGTTACATTAGATGTGTAACTGATTATGCATTTGATCATTCTCCTGCTTCAGAGAGTTATGGCAAATGTGTTTTTTTGGCGCACAGGTCTGTCTTTTGGAGCTCCTTCATGTTTTCATAAACCAGTAAAAATGAGAAGTGTTGTTATTGTTATCTAAAACTATAGCTATTCATTTATTATTATTATTATTATTTTAAATAACACTAAAATAAGATACAATCTAAATATTAGATGAAAACCTTGCTAACTAAAATAAGTATAATATAAGTATATAAATGCAATAAAAAAGCTAAATAGAATTCTGTAAAAACAATAAAACTATGAAACAACTAAACTAATAAAAATGACAAAAGCAAATAAGAAAATGACAAACTTGAAGCCAAAATATTAATAAATATGACTGTATATAAATAAATACTAAAACAACAGACAATTGCATTTTTTCTAGCAAGCCTTTTCACTATTTTTGACCAAAAGTATAAAGCTGTATACAATTTTTTTTATGATCAATAATTTGCTTGCTCTATAAATGTTCAATTAACATGGCTGACTAGTTCATGACAGCAATTCACTGAAAAGTTCAGGCTCAAAAAAATATTTGGGTACGAGTTTGATATCACTAGTCTCAAGATAGATTGATTAATATGCTTAAGTAAATACGCTTTTGCTTATTTATATGGTTATATACGTATGTATGATGAGAGCACTCTAGTATCATGCCAGTAGCTGACCCGTACTTATTTGCAATGCTGTGTAAATGATATTTAAAATACACTTAACGGCGAATTAAAAACATCCCAGTGATTTTTATTTTCATATGCAAAACCCGAAATCATCAACCATCACACTGAAGGTAGAGTCTATCCTTGATCCATAAAACATCAGTAATCCAGAATCCACAACTGCTACCAGCTGCTTGACCTGTCTTTACACACAAATGGAAATGCAGTGCAAGAAGGGGGGAATCTATCATTCATTCAGTCAATCATACACCTTAACATAATACACAGATGTAAAATAACACTCGTTGTTATCAGACATGTATTGTATGGCACTTGGCTGATTTTGCTATGATGGAAATGTCCCAGTACGAGGAAACTGTCCAATGTGCTCTACAACAGACATGTTTGTGTGTGTTTGTTTGAGGGTGCATGGCTTTATACACACACACGCTACCTCTTGTGGTATTACAACCATCACAAACAAAGAGGTCTTTGAAACATGCAGACAAAATATTCTTTTTGTTATTACTTAACAGTTTCAGCAAGGAAGAGACTTTGTGTTTATGGCATAGTATGTGATATCATGCATAAAGTCATGTAGCCCTTGAAAACAATAGGAGAAAAGCTTCTATTTTGTTTTCATTGTTATTGTTGTCTGTAGTTACAAAAAAAAAATGGTAACACCACACTAAAACCAGCAGTCAAACATAAAGTGCCACAAATCAGTGAACAAGTTTTCATGTTTACCTGATTTTTACCTCAGCGGGGACAGAATTTCACTTGGCAAATAAAGTATAAAATAGATTTTCTATAAAAGTTGTGTATAAATAAAAGTATGTAAATAAAACTATGTATAAATGGTAAAATGATAGATTTAAATCACTGTGTTGGGTAACAACGATTTCAAATGTTAAAAACAAAATCACTTGCACTGCTGTTTTAGAAAACCTAATTTAGGAATATAATGCGCCACAGTGCAAAAGACAGCGATTTGCAGTTACCATGGGCCATTTAGATACTACTAATGACTTGATAACCTTGCAAAACGTTAAGGATTTGGATTTTATATATTATAACACGGTTTTTAGTGTGTGGGAGTGATTGAATGTGATGCTCAGAATATAATTTGCACCAAAAAAAAAAGGGGGAAACAAATGAACATTTTAAAGCCAGCCTATGATAAAAGGGTCTCTGTACATTCCTATAAACAGTGGATAGTACCGAAGTGCAATCAGTCGCAGTGGTCCTATATAGCACATAAGAAACGTAACACAATTAAGGAGATCGGTGTGTTGCCATAGACATCTTTTGTCGGGTGTCAGGTGGGAGGTGTTTAATTGGCTAAAGAGTTTTCTCGCTCCCAGCATGCACTCTGTGATGTATTGCGAGCGGAGGTTTCTTTCGCAACAGTGACCGTCTCTCGGTTTGATTGACAGCTGACAGCTGTTTGCAGCCGGAGGGGGAGAATAAGTGGGGGAGAGGTTGCGACCACCTGATTCGTCCTCGACTCCTCCCACTGCACATTTGACACTTCGCCTGTCCATCCCAGACAGAAATACAAGTGTCAGTCGGTCGTGTGTGTTGTGTGTTATACTGGGGGTGCAGGCGCTGGTCTCTGAGGCATCAGATGTTGGGTTGGAGCAGGTGGTCTGTAAAAAAAAAATGGTAACACCACACTAAAACCAGCAGTCAAACATAAAGTGTCACAAATCAGTGAACAAGTTTTCATGTTTACCTGATTTTTACCTCAGCGGGGACAGAATTTCACTTGGCAAATAAAGTATAAAATAGATTTTCTATAAAAGTTGTGTATAAATAAAAGTATGTAAATAAAACTATGTATAAATGGTAAAATGATAGATTTAAATCACTGTGTTGGGTAACAACGATTTCAAATGTTAAAAACAAAATCACTTGCACTGCTGTTTTAGAAAACCTAATTTAGGAATATAATGCGCCACAGTGCAAAAGACAGCGATTTGCAGTTACCATGGGCCATTTAGATACTACTAATGACTTGATAACCTTGCAAAACGTTAAGGATTTGGATTTTATATATTATAACACGGTTTTTAGTGTGTGGGAGTGATTGAATGTGATGCTCAGAATATAATTTGCACCAAAAAAAAAAGGGGGAAACAAATGAACATTTTAAAGCCAGCCTATGATAAAAGGGTCTCTGTACATTCCTATAAACAGTGGATAGTACCGAAGTGCAATCAGTCGCAGTGGTCCTATATAGCACATAAGAAACGTAACACAATTAAGGAGATCGGTGTGTTGCCATAGACATCTTTTGTCAGGTGTCAGGTGGGAGGTGTTTAATTGGCTAAAGAGTTTTCTCGCTCCCATCATGCACTCTGTGATGTATTGCGAGCGGAGGTTTCTTTCGCAACAGTGACCGTCTCTCGGTTTGATTGACAGCTGACAGCTGTTTGCAGCCGGAGGGGGAGAATAAGTGGGGGAGAGGTTGCGACCACCTGATTCGTCCTCGACTCCTCCCACTGCACATTTGACACTTCGCCTGTCCATCCCAGACAGAAATACAAGTGTCAGTCGGTCGTGTGTGTTGTGTGTTATACTGGGGGTGCAGGCGCTGGTCTCTGAGGCATCAGATGTTGGGTTGGAGCAGGTGGTCTGTGGAGGGTGGACAGAGTACAGGACTCAGGAGTAAGCTCTATAGAAACTGGATTCATGAGCATATGATGCTTTCAAAATGTTGCTGCTTGGGTAGAACATTACATATCAGCAGCTTGTGAGGTTTCATGATTAGGATGCTGCTTTAAAAGACACCTGTCTATGTAGGCAGCTAACACGGTCCACTACTGTTTAAAAGTTTGGGGCTGGTAAGATTTTTGAATTTTTTCAAGGCTGCATTTATTTGATCAAACATACGGTAAAAAGTAATATTGTAACTTATTTTTTCCTGTGATGCAAAGCTGCATTCTTAGCATCATTACTTAATGCTTAATATTTGTTTGGAAACTGTGATGCATTTCTTTTTTTCAGGATTCTTTTACAATTAGAAAGTTCAAAAGAACAGCTTATAAAACGGAGAGTTCCGGTCCTTGATTCCGATTGGTTGAGCCAAGTTCGAAGCGGTTGTAAATGACTCTACAAACACACACCTTTGTTTACATTTGTGCGTTGCTCGGCATCCACTTTGTTGAAACCGCAACCGTTTCTGAGGAACTACATTGTTTGGCGGAAGAATACTGTTTTTATTATCATTACACTTTATTTGCTGTTTTATTCTGTGAAACCTTACTACGTATATGGAATAACCGTTTTATAAAAGCAATAAGCCCCGTGACGCCGTGGTTTACAGTGAATTTATAACAGCTAAGGGGGTTGTAGGCACTCCGCGAGTGTTATAAATTAGTAATAATAAATAGCTTTTATAAACGGGGCTTATTGCTTTAATTTATCATTTATTTGAAACAGAATCA